TTCCAGCCCCGCAGCCTGCAGGATTTCAGGGGCACTCTGAGATGCAGAAGGCCCTGGCACACAGCGGGGCATGGGCACACACCCAGTGTTTCCCAGCTCCACCATGGCCGGAGTGCCTGCAAGGCTTCCTCACCCAGCCAGCCTCAGGCTGGAAACACGAGCAGCTGTGTGTTTAAATTCACCTATGGCAAGTCTGTTCAGTGACAAACTGTCAGAGGTTTTACAGCCAGGGAAGGAAAACAGCCACAGAGTTGTCTGTAATACCCCTATTACAGCTCAACATCTCCAAATATCCATTTGTCAAACATGAATTATAAAGCTATAACATTTCATAATTCAGGACACACTCAAATCCTAGGAAAAATAGCTACAAGAGCCTAAATAAAAAAAAGCATTTATTCCATTTTTGACAGCTTAATGAATGCCCTACTCTTTTGCATTGATTTTTGTGTGTGTGTCTGTGTGTGCACGTGTGCCTGGGAAGGATTTCTCAGGGGGTTTGCTGTAAACAGGGAAAGCAAAATACTCTGCCAAGGCTTCTTCTACTTTTAAATAACCTCCATATTAAAATATTTCAGCAGACAATGTATCTAAAACTACTGAGAATGCAAAAAGCAAAAAAACAACTACTTACATCCCAGTAAACATACTGGAGGTTTGTTGAACAAGACATTAAACAATCCAATACCTCGATGTGGCAAGAGAGTCCCGGACACAGCATATGTTAATTTCTCTTTCAGGAAATAACAGTAAATTCAGAAAGCATGGTCAGCAGAGCCCTAGAATCTTAAATTCAGGATTGATTCCAGAACACAGATTTTCCTTACATGCCTAAGGGCTCACCTTGCAAGGGAAAATATGTTAAAAAAGCCTGCAAGCACCTAGAGACAGAAAAATAATGTATCATAAAGAGAACCGTGCCATTTGGAATTGCTGAACACTTTACACTGACACACTCTGGCCAGCTGGATCCCTGCTTTAATGGTTTTCCGAGTTCTTATCATAATGAACTCTATATAATTTAAATGGAGATTAATTCTTCCATTTAAAGTGCTTTGGAACAATCCTGCCCGAGATCCTGAGCTCAGCCCAGCCTCTCCCCGTGCTTCCTCTCCAGTTCTCCCGCAGCCCCTAAGTGGATCTGACAGATCCCTGCTCAGATAGCAGCCGCCTTCTCCCCCCAAAATGTTGCCTTTTTGCTATTCAGGAGTATCCTAATACCAACAAATGCTAAATGCAGTCTGACATGTCCCCCTAAGAAACAAACTTGTAAGTTGTGGCTTCAAAGCAGACCTTGAATAAATAGGACACGCTGTGTACACCCCGGCTAACATCCAACATATGCTCTGGCTTCCCGACGCTCAGGCAGAGCAGGAATAGCCTCTGGACAAGGCTGTGATTTGCTCTTGCTGGTGCTTCCAACGTTCCTGCTGTACCATTTCTTTGTGGCTGTATAAACAATTTAAGGGATGTAATGAAGACGACCCCGGCGCGGTTGGGAACGCAGCGTCCCCATGAATTATGGATGGCTGGAGGTGCCACGGCCCCACCGGGGCCCACACAAAGACAGGCACCCCTGGGCAGGGCTGCAGCACACAAAAATCAGCCTGGACCCAGAGTGTCTGCAGCTCTTCCCCTTGGTGCTGGGGCTCGACAGCTGCCATCATTAACAGCTCTCTTTTCAACAGTTACAGGGACAAGCAATAAAGGAAAGTGAGGAAACAGGATAAAACTGCATTTAACAGCACTTACAGTTGAGACACTCCATCCTTAGAAGGCCAATTTATTGATTCATTCTTTAGGGGAGAGAGAAGGGATGGACAGAGAAGAGAAAGATGTCACCTACTTTAAGACTTGTATTTTACCTTGCCATTATTTAATACTCTGTTTTATGACTAATCCTTCTGAAAGGACTAAAACAAGTTTGATTTCACCACCCCATCCTCTACTTTCAGTTCCGTTCCCTCTCCCTTTGTGCCTGTCCCTCTGGACGTAGGGCGTGACAGTACATCACTAAAATTCAAGCACCACAATTTACAGCACCTAAAGGGAGCCTGCTGAAATGCTGTGACTTGATGGCCATTTCCCGTGGTTAATTAACACAGGTTATTGATCAGGACAAAGCATTCGTGTGGCCAGCCCCACGGGAGCCCCGCTGCCCCACGGGAGCCCCATGGCTGCCCCACAGCAGAGTGACAGCAGCGAGCTGAATGGGGCCCATTACAGCTGAATTAACACTCAGCTGGACAGCCTTCACTCTGCACTAGCTGCAGCCCCAGAACGTGGATATCCTCAGTCCAGCCAGAGAGAAAAGGAGAGATTTCTGCTGGGCTGAGGCTGGAAAAAGTCCCAGAGGAATGTAAACAATCTGTTATCTTGCTTTCCATTCACATTGTTTATAGAAATATTCTGATTCTCTTGCTTTCCATTCACATTGTTTATAGAAATGTCCTACCACACTGACCTAGGTCCAGTGCACCAATCAGGTGAAATGGTTTCACTTTAAAACCAATGGAATTAATGTTCACAATGTTCTCTATAAAAGAGAGAAGTGCTTTTGAATAAACACTCAGTTGACCTTCTAAAATCATAAAAGTCATTTTGCCCATCCCTGGCTCAACAACATCATCAGAACACTCAGATGTGGATTATCAACTCACAGACTTCATCCCATTTTGCTCTTCAGGGAAACTGAGGTTTGGCGGAGCTTGGAGAGCTTTTTGAATTTTAATTCAAAGCAGCATTTCTCTACATTCTGCCTAAAACTGAGGATAACTAAGCTGTATCTTACAAAGAAAACAAAATAAAGCAAGACAGATTTTTTTCCCTTTTTTTTTTCTATTTTACTCTTCCTTTCCAATACTGAGTGTGGGTTTGTTTCCCTTTGTTGGGATGGCACAAAACCTCCAGAGACATCTCTCAGTCACTCGGAGCCCTGCCCTGTCTGTGTCTGCCATCAAAGCCCACCTGGCATCTTGATGCTGAATCTTTAGATTTACAGCACTGTTTAAAACAATTATTCATGTAAGAAACATGAAGACTAATTTTAAGGCTATCCTGAAAGATGTATCTTTGGAATGCTGGAGTAGTAAATAGCCAAATTATTTATTTAATCAGAAAAAACTTCACTGGATTATAAATAGATTTCAAGCTATAGTGCTCTTATGAGAAGTGTAATTACAGTTAAGAGAACCACTTCGTTCTTCTGGCAGGCTCCTGGGATCCCTTAAAACAAGCTAAGGAATAGCTCAGGGTATGGAAAAAATAAATCTGAATTCCCTCTCTGTGTGCTGTGTATGGCAGGTCCTGGTACTGGGTACAAAAACCACCACATAATCCCACAACTGATTTTGCTACATTTGCAAATTTTTCTCTCATTTCCTCCAGACCTTAAAAATAAGATAAAATGCAGCTTCTATCAGTAGTAAAATCAAGTAAACACCAGGTCCATCCTTTAAATACAACCCTCCTCCCAAATGAGAATCTGCACATACATACTCCTACACGTATACATGAAATTTTAACTGATTTCTACATTGCTGGGCTCTGTCTGAGACACCTCCAATAAACAACACCAGCTTTAGCCTCATAAACCACTCTGGAGTCCAGCACGTTTCCAGAGCTCTTCCCAGTCCAGAACCCCTTTGATGAGCTGATGAATTGTTCTAAATGCAGCTCTACAAAGGGAAAAGAATTCCCTTTAATATCAACCTGTGTGAAGACCTTTCTGCTGCCCAAAGGTCAGAAACCACATCTCCAGCAGAACTTCACTAGCCAAGAAAAGCCATTGCATTTTCTCCTACGTCCAGTAAGTCGCTGTCGTGAAAATATAACTTATCTCCCAAGCCAGCAATTCAGAGGCAAGCTGAATCCTTCAAGCACAACCCCCAGGCTCACAGCTGTGTCCTCAGCCCAAAAGCAGAGCACAGAGCAGGCAGAGAGGCCACGCACCGTCGTAGTAGACAATGGCTCCCACCAGCTTGTCCCGGCGCAGCATGGGGAACAGCTCCAGGGCCCGGGCCTTGGTCAGCACGTAGCTGCTCTTCAGGCACTGGCTGCCTGCCACCAGGTCATACAGCTTGATCCCAATCCAGTAGTAAGGCAGCTGCCACCACCTGGGGGAAAACGGGCGTGAAGTGAAGAAAGTACAAGCGAAGCACTGAGGAGTGCGTGCACGCTGTTACTGCGGTGCAGAACACAGAATGTTCTTACAGCACTTCTGCCTTGTACAGCTTTACAAGCTCATGGCAACAGGACAATGTAAATACTCCAGACTCAGGTGTTGTTTGCCACTGTTTTCAACTGAGCTACTCCCTGCAGTGAGTCAAGCACATACAAGGATTTGTTTGCTCCAAAATCAGGATCTAAAGGGGGCTGTTGTGCCTCTGTGTGAGATACTGGAGCTGTGTGTGCAAGCTGAGAGGATTCCCCAAGGCAGGGTCTGTGTTTTCTGCACAAACAGGCCAAAGTAAATGCAGGCAGCCACCGCCCTACACAGGTTGCAGCTCTTACAAGCCACTCACACTAAGACAGGATTAATAAAAACAGGAATAGTCTTAATAAAGTTAAGTTCCTTTAGCAAAATCTCCCTGCTGTAAGTAGGCTGCTCCAGGGAGTAATTGCTCTTACAGACTGAAAACCCAACCCAAAGCACTGAGTTCCTCAGAGGAGGAACCTGTTCTGTGCACACCAAGTGCCCTGTGCTCACAGGAACTGAGCAGCACCGTGCTGGGAACACTGGGGGGACAGGGTGCACTGAAAGAACAGCAAATACATCCTGGGAATGAGAGCTCTTTGCAGCTGCCCCTGTTGGGGTGCTGGAAGGCACTGAAGGGCTGCACCCCAGCATGTGCCCCCAGAGCAGTGACTGCTGGCTGGGCACAGGAGACCTCTGTGCTTCTGCAGCCCAGCTGTTCCCCTGGGACAGCTCTCAGAAACCCAGGCCAGGCCAGGGTTTGCTTGTGAGAAGCCAAGGTAAGGGAGAGAAGGCAGGGCAGAGCTTACTTGTAGATGGGCAGCATGATGGGCAGCGGGGCCGAGAGGTGGGGTGCACTCTGCAGCAGGTGGGCACGCTCCTCCAGAGCCTCCTTCACCATCCTGTACTGCAAAACAGCAGCCAAACACCAGCCACAGTCAGTGCCAAGCACCCACCCTCCTCCAGCTATCCCTCACCATCCTGTACTGCCAAACAGCAGCCAAACACCAGCCACAGTCAGTGCCAAGCACCCACCCTCCTCCAGCCCTCCCTCACCATCCTGTACTGTAAAACACCAGCCACAGTCAGTATCAGAGCATCCACCCTCCTCCAGAGCCTCCCTCACCATCCTGTACTGTCAAACACAAGGTCAGTGCCACAGCAGCCACCCTTGGCACCAGGGCAAACACTCAATAACAGACTTTATCCAAGAATCAACACCTGCCACCATTGTCACTAGGCTTTCACACTGCGATCTGATGAGAAACTCAAAGGGTAAGGGAAAGATCCCCAATAAAATAAAGTTGTGGTGGTTTAATCTTGGCGTCTTGGCAGCACAACTGCACAATTTTTCATTTGAACATAGAGCTCCTGCCCTAACGAGGGGCAGGAGGCACTTCAGGAGGGCCAGGACTCATCCCACAGCACAGCTCTGTGCCGATTCCCACAGCTCAACCCCTCTGAACTCCAAGCTGCAGATGCAGAAGGTCTCTTCTCCAAACCAACCAATGTCCATCAACGTGGGGGTGTTCTCTGCCAGAAAAGTGGGTTTCTCTATGTGGGTAATCCCAGGGTTTGGGTATTTCCCTCTGAAAAATCACCATTCCTGCAGCAGCATTCCAACTACTATAACATACTTTGAGGGGCTCCAATGGAAAGACAATGTGATTCTTCAAAACAGGAATATCAGGCTTCCACCCACAAAAAAATGCACAGAAGTATTTATAAACTATCACTCATTTACCGTATTCTCTTTCCCCATGCCAAAATAAATCACTCATTTACCATCTTTTATTCCCTTATTCCAAAATAAGTCGCTCATTTGCAATATTCTTTCCCCATTCCAAATTAAATCACTCATTTACCATCTTTTCTCTCCCCATTCCAGAACAGAACAGCCGCTCACTCCCCCCAGTTCATGACATTACCAGTCACTTTTAATTTGATTTTATCTTAAGCTCTTTCTGTTCCGAGATCAGCCCTGTCTCTGCCTCCTCTCCCAAAACCCATGGCATGGCAATGGCACTGCCCCCAAAGCACAGGAAAGCTGCCAGAGAAAACACTTCCCATGCACAGTGGCTGTGGAACACAGCCCTGCAGTCCAGCACTGAAAAGCTCAAAGGACACTCAGGTCTAAGTGGGACAGTGAGGTCCCTACCAGCACAGAAAATTACCTGCTCGAAATCCAGCTTCATGATGGCCTTCTGCAGGTACCTCACTCCACCATGGATCAATTTAGTGCTCCTGCTGCTGGTCCCCGATGAGAAATCATCTCTTTCTAGAAGGGCTGTTTTTAGTCCTGTGTTACCAGAAAACCAAATTAACTTCTTAAATTACACAATTTGTATGTAATTCATTAAAGACACTTCTCTAGGGTAGAGACAATCAGAAGAAAAATTACTCTGTACATGGATAAATTTGTATTCAAAGTGTAGTGCACTGTCTATATTGTAATGAAAAATTTTAGCCTTCTTCCTGAGGGAAAAGTCAAAGCAGAACTTAAACAGCAGCACATTAAAAGCTGGGTATTTCACAGTGGAAAGGCATTACTGCACATTAGGGGCCACGCTCCCCAGGGAAATGACAGCTTGGATGCCTGGCAGGAACAGAGGGGCTCCTTGGACATTTTAACCCTTTGCAGCAGGGAGCTCTAAACCTCTCCACTAACCATTCGAGTGGCATTCCAGAGAGGGAGACAACTGGCAGCTCTGCTTACGTGGAGTTTGCCTCAGAGGTGCCCAAACCCAGGGCACAGCCACAGAGCACGCCTGGAATTCTGACATTCAGAGAACATCCTGATCAGCCTTAACCACTGAATCCCTCGGGCTGGAAAAGACCTCCAGGATCACCGAGTCCAGCCACGCTCCAGCCCCTCAATGTCCTTTGGTCACGAGGACCCAGAACTGGACACAGCACTCGAGGGGCCTCAGCAGTGCCAACACTGAGATTTGAGCATCTACCGGTCTCCCAAAACTTTTATGTCCTTAAAAAAATCTAATTATTACTGGTAACTTACAAAGATCAGAGCAATTTATTTTTGTCGAATGTGACTGAAGATTAATGGACACAATCAGAAATAATTTGGTGAAGATTTATCAAACACACGAAAAGCAAAATTTGTTGTTAAGCGAAGCAAACACGATAAAAGAGCAAGTTCCATGAATGAACAGCAACGAGACACAACTCATTAACCAAATGCCCGTGAATATTTCACACCTCAGAGACCTACTGATGTAACCAGCATATCCAAGAAAAGGATAAACAGAGATTAACTGTAATAATTTCTGTCTGCTTTACAACTGCATTTCCAACCAAAGCACAGCAGAGGCAGAAGTGAGAAGATGTTTGTCCCGAGTTATTAAATGTAACAACCAGGCTGGAGTTTGGACTTACCTCCGTATGGTCAGTCCCTACTGCTTTATCCATTTCATACTGCCTCCCCTGCTGGACCAGTGTTTCCAAGCTCCACCTGAAAGGCTCTCCTGAGCCTGGCTCTCCTGAGCCTGGCTCTCCTGGGTCAGTTTTGCCCCTGTGTCTGAGGTCCACGTCCAGGTTAAGGAGCTGGGAACTCCAGGGCTCTCTGCTCTGGCAGCTCCCCAGAGGTGGGGCAGCAGGAGCACAGATCTCTGTGACCTTGGCAGGCTCCTTTTGCTTCTGAGAGCAGAGGTTTCCCAGCCAGGACAGCCAGTCCTCTCGCTCTGAGCCCTTCAGGAAGCCAGCCTGAGAAGTTCGTTATAAGCCAGGTGAAACGCGGATGAAAAATTAAAACTCCACAATTCTAATATAGATTTGTAGGGACAGTCTGTTTTTATTACAGCCCTGGCGCACGTAGGGACTTCTTTTTAAAGGGCATGTGCACTCTTGAGAACTTCTGATCTTTTTTTATTACTTTTAACTAATTTTTATATGTATAGAGTTTTACAATAGGTTCATGTATATTCATTTTGTTGATTTTGCATTACACTTACAGTTAGTTATACTTGTATTTAGTTTTTTTTAGAAAGTATAGAAAGAACTCTTGGGTCACTCTGTGTTGTTTGTTTTAAGGTCTGAGGAGTCTTTCTCATCTTTTTTTTTTTTTAGTGTGGAAATGTGTATTTTTTCTCTTTAGCTGGGGCAACTTTGCTAGTGCTGCAGTTACTAGACTAAACAGTGTATTTTACTCCTGTTAGTCAGCTCCGCGTGGCACATTTACCTACATCTCAATGGATTTCCAGTCTGTGAATTCTCAGTGTCTCCCAGCCCAAGGAGGAGGTGCAGCTGCAGCTGCAGGCGCTCACCCACCTCTGGTGGCTGCATCCAGGGCGCAGCCGCAGCCCGTGGCTCCCCCGCCGATGACCAGCACGTCGAACTCCTCGCCGCTCTGCAGGGCCAGCAGCTGCTGCTCCCTCGTGGGGAGATGGTCCTTCCTCACTGGAGCAGCCTCTGCAGCCTGCACCTGCACCAGGGCACCCTGCAGAGGGGAACACAGCCCCTGAGTGCCGCCTTTGGTCTGCACATGCAGCCCCCAGCACAGCCTCCTGCAGCACCACAAAGGCAAACCCACTCATTCCCAGCTGCTCCCCCACATTTAGCAATCATTTTGTGTTAAACACTGAGGAGCAAACACTTCTAAAGCCGTGAAGTGCTACTACACCTTTACTTCACCTTGCCCACCTCAGTATTCAGTACTCCACCTGTATTCATTACTTCTAGGAGCTCCCAAATGTTACAGGATGCTGTCATTATTTTAATAAACATTACAATGGAAGTATTTTAATTAGCAGACACATGGCTGAGCTCTGGACTCTGTACCAAAAACTTCACCACAGCAAAGGACACAGAGCTGAGTGTACATTTTACTTCTCATGCAGTGGCATTGATCCAAGCTCCAGTTTAATGAGGCTCAGGAGTGATGTGATTGTAAAGTGCAGTGCCCTGAAACACCAAAGAAACTCTAATTTCACCTCTTTCTTGAGAAACTTCCAAGCAATGCAGTTTATGTCCTACAGCACGCTAAAATACAACATTCAAGTGACAAAGCTCAACAAGGTGGCAGTTTCCAGACAAGGTCCCATTTTCCTGGAATGCCCTGGGAATCCCTTTGGGCTGATATTCCCAGAGCCAATGCTGCTGTCTGGGCAGTGACTGTGGAGACAAGGGCTGATGCTCAGTCACCTACCAGGGACCATGGCCTAAGTGGGAAGGGTTTCAGCAGTCTCTAAAGGCTCGCTGCTGTTAACATCAACTTAAGCTGAATTCTAAGCATTTCCAGACTTTCTTGAGAATTATAAACACTTTGAACACCAGCAAAACCTGTTTAACCCTAATTTATGACCTAATTTAGGCCCAATCTCCAGGCCAAATGGCAGACTTAACTATGCAGAATAGCTTCTGCCCAGATCTCCCAGACAGGAAAGAGCAGACTAATAAAAATTCAAGTGACAAACCACAGAAACTCCTTTCCAGCCAAGCACAAAAACCCTCAGTTCAGATTATATGGTGCATGCAGCCTAAATATTTTTGTTCAGAATTATTTGCTCATTCCTCAGCAGTATCATGATTTAAATGCATTAGTTCTGTGTCCCCCTCTCTACCACAGAGCCAAAAAAAAATATCTAAAAACTAGTAGCCATGACTCAAGGAAGTGCATATTCCAAAGATAATTAATGGCCATGTTCACCCTGCAACCAGGGATGATACTGACTGTAATGCAAGGAGCTCATGAAAATCACTCAGGACAGCAGCAACCACTGTCACTGCTTGTGTGGTACAGTGAAATCCATGGGGAAATTGGGCTGGAGAGAGTCCTCCATCCTGAGGATCTAACAAGGTCCTGGAGCTGCTCCAGACCTGGAGCCCTCTGCTCTGCAGCCAGCCTGGGAGAGCTGGGGGTGCCCACCTGGAGAAGGGAAGGATCCAGGCAGAGCTCAGAGCCCCGGGAATG